GCTGAGGCACAGGCAGCGGGGCCCCTGACGCCAGTGCCGCCCACCTGGGTGTTCTGTGTGGGGATCTGCAGGACCAGGGCCAGTGTGTTGTGGTCAAAGTTCTCGTCCAGGGCCAGCAGGGCGCCGTGCACACCACTCTCCTGCAGGTTCCCTGCATAGTCCCGGAGCCCAATGGACTGGACCCAGTGGACCACCTGCTCATTGGTCCAGACCAGCACATCTAGAGGCGGGAAAAGAGCAGGAGGACCTGGGGTCCACAGGTTTCCAGGGAAGAGGGGAGCCCCCAGACCAAAGCCCCAGCCTTCCCTGCCCTCGACTCCACCCCATCTCCCTCCTCCATCCTGAGACCCCTGTCCTCCTTCCCTCTCAGCTTTGGGGTGAGGCCCCTGCAACCAGGTGCGCACCTGCAGCGGAGGCCCCAGTGACCCGCTTACCCCTGATCTCATGCTGGCTCTCCTCCCGCCTCCTCTCCAGCTCCTTCCGGTCATAATTGAGCCTCTTGAGACACATGATGCCGTACTGCAGGCTGCTCCTGCAGGCACACAGCCCACCACAGCCTCAGGGCCACGCTCCTGCCCAGCTGCCCACGTCCTCCAGCACAGACAGCCCCCAGACGCTCGGCTCCACCTGCAAGCGACCCGCCAAGGCCACCTCCCTCTCTGGTCCCATCCTCCCTCAGCCCAGGTGGGCCTCACGATGAAGTTCTCAGCATGGAAGCAGCATGGCCCTCCCTCTCCAGGACTGCGTGACAAAGACCCGACTGCCCACCAGTCACAGGGAAAGATACCCTTTTGTGTTCCCATTTCACCCGGCTCCTCACACAAGCCTATAGATGCTACCGGGTCCTCCCACGCCGTCTGAGCTCAGGGACACCCTGTCTCGCTGCCCACAAGCCTCGGGGCTGCACTGCTGCCGGGAGCACTCCCATTCTGCTGCCCTACGGCCTTGCTGAAATGCCGCCGTGCCCACCTGACTGTACGACCATCACCACCCAGCCCACCCCAGCCTCCTTACCCAGGTCTAATTTTCCTGCCACTCGATCCCAGTTAGCATGGAAGCTCCCTCCCGGATCTCACCTCCTGGGACGAGTTCACAGAAAGGACCGGAACCACTCACGCTGCAGCAGGTGCACTCGGGGCCCTCGCTCCCTCACAACGAACCCACGGAGAACCAGAGCCGGGGGTGAGATGGGACCCCAGAGGCCGTCGCTCTGAGCGCCCACCTCATGCAGGAAGCAGCACCCCGTGCCAGCCTCTGGGGACGGAGAGCTCACTACCTCCCAGGGCAGCTCGTCCCACCTCGGGCCGTGACTACTCCTCCTAAAGAGCGGCCCTGACGTGGCCCCTGGAGTCGCCGCCCATGAAGCTGAAGAGCCGAGGAGAAACTTCCTGCCAAGCCCACTGTCCCCACTCCACTGAGGCCACTGCTCTGCGAGATTCGATTATGCAGACAGCCCCCTCCCCAGCCCCTCCGCTACCCCAGCCTCTCTGCGCAGAAATCACCTCACGGCTCAGACACCCCTTCCAGGAACTAGCGACCTGGACAGTCTGAGCTGGTGTTAGCAAGGACTTCCGCACACCATTTCCAGCCCTGCTCTGCAAGCCCAATGCCGCCAGGGGCCAGGAGGCATTTACTGCAAATGGGCGAGCAGGCTGCGGGGCTGAGGGGCTGCAGGGGCGGGTGGAGTCCATGCTACAAGGTGACGATAGATAGAGCTTTCAATTTTTGAGGATCTAGACATCCACAATTTTGTGTAAAATTTCCTAGAGCTTAAAAACTAGCAACTAAATTCATAATTTTAAAAATACCATGTGGGCCACACAAAACACATCTGCGGGCCAAATCCCGCCCACGGCTGCCAATCTGGGACCTCCAAACACCTCTGAACAGAAGATATTTTCAGCAAAGAGAGGGGAGGACTGGGTGACATCCTGCAGCAAAGGCTGTGGGTTCAGGCTGGACGCTCGGGACGGGCACACTGGCCGGGCAAGGGCCCAGGAGCCGTCCTTCAGCCGGAAGGGGTCAGTGCCCACCCTGCACATGGGGTCCAGGCGAGCCGTCTCCAGGTAAACAGAATCCAACCAGCCCGTGACGAGAATGAAACAGCCTGGGAGAAACCTCCAGGAGGGGAGTTAAGAGAAACAACTTTGGTCTTTAGGGTTGAAGGGGAGAGAGTCCAGCTCCACAAGGAGCTGCTGCCACCCAGAAGGGCCAGGGAAGAGATTGGACGGAGCCCAGCGCTGGGCCCTGTTGGGAGGGCCGCCGCCTGCTCACCGGTGGAAGCTGTCCACCATCTTCAGGTGCACCCGCAGGTCCTTCTTGGTGAGGTGGTCCAGCATGCGAGCGTCCACCAGGCACTCCATGAAGTAGCTGCGGTACTGGGGCAGCCCCAGGCTGGGCAGCCACTCGTTCCCGATCCACTCGTGGCTCATGTCCCCATAGGCCAGGGTCTGGGAGGAAGGCAGTGCCAGGCTGCAGCCGACTACAGCAGTTCCGTGAACATCAGCTCGTTCACCCAGGGGTGGGCATGGTGGGAGGTGGGGGTTTTAAATGAAGGTTTTTAGGTCCCAAAATGACGTGGCTCCATCAGGGACAAATCCCCTGCACTGAGGACAGAGCAGCTCCCAGGCAGGCGTGTAGGGGCCGTGGGGCAGCTGCCTCCGATTCTCAGCCTCACCCCTGCTGGCGGCTGCAGGGCAGAGGGCGCCAGAGCCAGGGGAACCCAGGGGGGTCTGCTCCTCCCCACCCCACACCCAGAGGGGACCCCTGAGCTTTGTGTCCCTCGCTCGAAAAAAGGTTTAACGGTTTTTACAATCACCAAGTGCGTTTCTCTAAGACCGCGATATTCACCCTTGTTCATCTCACGGCACACACCAGCTAATTACCAAAATCCTGTGACACAAAAATACATTGTGTTTTCTGCAGACCTGACAAAAATGGGTGTGATTTTGACTCGTTCATAGTGTGGTGCTGGCTGCTGCCATTTTCCATGCGGAAAGCGACGGAGGAGGCCGGGTCCTGACTGAGCCGGGCAGCGCCTGCTAACCCTCTGGGCACAGCAGCCGACTGTGTGCTTAAGCCACGCACCAGCTCTGCTTGCATGCCTGGGCTCAGCGCCCGCTGCTGCAGACAGGCTGGCATCTGCACTGACCAGCTTCCCTGTGCGACGGCGTGCTTGCAGCCCCACCGTGGTCCTCACTTGCCTGGCTCGCTATCCAGAGGAGTGGCTGCGTGCACTGCCTGTCTCCCTAGCATACGAGCCTGCGAGGACAGCGTGTTTACGCCTGTGTCCAGAGCCTGGAATATTTCCCACTACGTGAATGAACCAGTGGCCTCTGCTCAGCTCACAGGCCCCCGAGAGGGCGGAGGGAGGAACAGGATGCTTCCAACCTATACCTCATCATTCCTGAAGGGAGCCCACGGGCGGGGGAGGGGGCGGGGGGGGATAGAGGCACCAGGCAGCACAGCCCGCGGGCTCCTCTCCTGCCAACCTGAGAAACCAGGACAGTAGCTAAAGGGGAACGAGGAGGGAGGGTCCTCGCAGGTGCCCTGGACCCCGTGTCCGGCAGGGGGTCTTACCTGAGCCCAGCTGCCCTCCTCACTGTCCTAGCAGGAACGTGCAGCGTGAGGGGAAACGGCCAAGTCAAGAGCCTGGCAGCATGCACCCAGGCCCCATCGAGAGGGAGCCCACACCCAGGGCTGGTGGGTGAGCAAGGACAGTGTTGGCGAGGTTGGGAGAGGAGGCAGGTGTGGGTGCCAAGCTTTCGGTAAGAGGGCAGCAAGGCCCTCCCATCCTTGCACAGGCCTCAGCGCCAGGCAGGACCCCGGGTCCAGGCCCACAGCAGTGCAAAGCTCTCTTCACCCCCCCACCCAACCGCTCTCTCTCTCTCCTTCCCCACCAACCTCCACCTGAGAACAAGCTCAGTGACACGTCAGGGCTCACCTCACACTCAGCTGACTTCCCACCACCTTCCCCGCCCGCCTTGGGCCATCAGCCCTGACCCCAGGCCCAGGGCCGACTCACTGTTTTAGTGGATGTTGCCAGAGTTTCCATCTCTTCATGGGTGACCCAGACATTCCCAGAGGACTGTAGAGAGAGGAAACCTAGCTGGTCCTGCAGTGGGTCCCAGGGGTCCCCCAAGGACAAGGACAAAGCTCCCTCCCTGAGTCCCCCCACAGTGTCCCCAGCGCTTCCTCAGTGAGCGAGCGTGAATGCTGCAGCGTGGACAAGAGCTGCCCCCAGCCACAGGGAAGGCCCACGGAGAGGCTGGAGGCCTGGGACAGAGTTCACAGACCCCACTCCCTCCGCCACCGCCATCTGACCACACAGAGCCCCGGGTCCCAGCCGCCTGGAGATCCGGGACTACTGGCAGAGTCAGGGGGGAGACGGAGCCCCTGGTGGTATGTGGGAGGCAGAGGCTAGGCCTGCTGGGACCCCAGAATCAACATCAGCCCCTGCAGACCAGCTGGACCCCTGTGTGGGGATGGGAAGTGAGGGGCAGACACGGCGACCATCCCTCCAAAGACCCATGGGAGGCTCGCAGAGCTATTCCAGGGCCTCAGAAAGGGTCTGGGGAGGGAGAGGCCACTCACAGTCCTGGAGGTGGGCGGGGCGGAGGGGCTGGTCAGCGACACCATCTCCTGGATGGCCAGCCGCAGCTTCAGCCGGTGCAGAGGGTTGCTGATGCCGATCTCCCGCTGGATCTCCGTGTCCGACAGGGCCGACATGATGGCCCCACTCTTGACGTTGGCACGGCAGGCTGCCACGTACCAGGCTGGCATCCCCACCCATAGCTGCAGACACAGGCACAGGGTCACTCAGCCGCCTCTCCAAGAGCTGGGCAGCCCCCAGGGCAAGGCCAGGCTCAGCCATGGTCTCAGAAGAGCAGACGTGGAGAGGACCGTCATCAAACGCGTCTCCCTTCACAGTGGAAACTCTGGGCCTGGGGAGGAAGGGCTCCAGCTCTGCCCGGGGACCAGCTCCCGGGGCGGCCGCAGTCAGCGCCTGTGGGCCCGATGGCTCAGCGGGGCCTGCGGCCCTCAGCCCTCAAGGTCACGGCTGTGCGCTGACGGGCATGGGGGCGGGGCAAGGCAAGGTCCCATGTGTACTTGGCAGGGGAGAAGCATGCTGGGAAAGTTCTGCCCTGGAGCCCCCCCACCCAGGCCCTGAGTAGACCCTCTGCCTAGGTACCTCTAGCCAGGAGACCACGGTAGGGCCATCCCACTGGGCAAAGGGCAGTCCCTTTCGGCGGGCGTCTTCAAGCAGCTGGTGCCTTGCAGGGAGAGGAGCAGTCTCAGCAGTCCTTCCTGTGCCGCCGGGATGGCTCCAGGGACATGGCTGTGCCCTGTGCTGGGCTCGCCTGCTCATCCCCCCTCACCCGACTGCCACCCTGCTCTGCACCTGAAGCAGTGTGACTCCAAGACACGGGGCAGGGATGCCCTCCAACCTGAGGGCAAGAGCTCTCACTGTGCACGCGGCCCGACCACGACCATGTCGGTCTGCTCTGCCAGAGCCACCCTAACAGCCAGCGCCCAGCCTCTGCGTGACCCCACGAACCAGGCCAGCTCAGCTCAGAAAGGGCCTCCTGGGCTCTGACCACCTGAGCTCAGTCCCATGCAGCCCACGGGACGGGCAGAGGTGGCA